CTAGCAATCACAGAATCTCCTATCGGAGTAGATACCGCAAGGGGTTTACTTATCAATTCAGGTTCAATGCCAAACTTATTAGCCATAAAGGGTGTAACATATGATAATGTAGATCCCGGATCAATCAGCGCGTATACATCATAAGAAAACACAGATAATATACCTGTAACAACATCTGGAGATGACTCGAGATCCTGTCGACCTACTAGAGAATAGGTTCGATTTTGAGCACCACTCGAACTCTGCACTGCACCTCTACCTCTACCTCGACCTGTCGACTGCTGAAAACCCCGTGCTGGAGGTCGAATTGATGAGGAAGAACCAGACACAGATCCAGTCGGCTGAGCCATACCACCAACCCTCTGTTAGGACAATCCCGTATCATATGGCCAGGTTGTCCGCAAGAATAGCACGCATCAGAACCTCGACGGCACAGTCCAAAGTGGGCCTTACCGCACTGATCACAACATGGTGTTAGGGGTCTCGTCTGATTAGTATCTCTGTGATATTGCGAGCCTGATGCCCGCGAACTCTGACCTAGACGTGAATAGGTAAATCGATCATATCGAGGCCTCTGGAATTGTGGAGGAGCACTAGCTACAGATGGCGTCGAACTCCTCGAAGACTGGGGCCTGACATTGCCTCTGAAGTCATCAGAATACCCTGCAAATCTCGCCCGCTTATGCTGGCCCCTATCCTGCTCCCTATCTGCCCTTTGCTGGCGCTTACGATCCTCTAGGGTCTGGGCATAAGCCTGAATACGGGAAATATCCATGCCCTCCACCAAGGACGCTGTCGTGCACTCATTTATCAGATGTGGTCCCAACCCGTTCACAAACAGATGCACCCTATCACTCATCTCTGCTACCATATGGGGAGCATACCTTGCTAAAGAATCAAACTGCATACTATACTCTCTCACACTCATATTACCTTGTCTAAGGTTCAAGAACTTATCAGCTCTAGCTCGTCGTATCTCAACTGGCAAGTAGTGACGAAGAAAGGCCTCAGAAAATTCCTTTCACACAGCTGGAGGAGCGTTCGGACCCCTGGATCTCTCCCAACTATCATACCAGAGAACCGCTAAATCCCGTAGCCGATAAGAAGCCAACTCTACTGCCTCTGTATCACTAGTATGCATAACCCACAGTGTACGATGAACCTGATCAATAAAAGTCTGCGGGTCCTCCTTCGGATCTGATCCGGTAAACACAGGAGGGTCTAAATTAATAAAATCACAAACTCTCGTACTAACTGGTTTATCAGCAGCACCTGTATTCTGCCTCTGAGCCTGAGCAGCTACCAAGCTAGTCAATAACTGCAAAGCACTCCGCATATCCTGGTCTGTAGTGCCAGACGGAGGAACTGGAGGTGCTGGGTTCCTCCTAATATCCTCTGGAGGAGACGGAGTAGATGAGGTATAAGCCTCTAAAGGAACATAAGTGTTGCAACATAGCCGGAATAGGGCCCCGACATACCCATAATATCTATAACAAAAATGCATACCAAGACCAAGGCAAGTCCGAAGAAGGGATCTCGCCAATCACCGCTGAACTGGACAGCCTACTATGGTGGGGGAGCTGCGCCTGCCTGTCTATCAGGACCTGCAGCACGACATGCAGCGTCCACAAATAAAAGGACGTCAGTACGAATAAAGTACTGAGTATGTAAGGCAGGGAACCATAAGTACGAACAGTAATGTAAGCAGGGATAGAGAATAAACAACCTGTAACATCTGGGTACCTCTAAGGGCTACTGACATGAAATGCGTGATACATATGTATATATACATAAACTTTTAAAACATACGCCTCTGTGGGCATCATCATCATCATATCGTACCCGGCCGTAATAGGCTCGGTAAAAACGTACCCGGCCACGTGGAGCTCGGTAAAACCCAATTGATCAGTGGTTGCACAATAGGTGTCGTACCCGACCGACTATAGCACGGCTCGGTAGAGTAAAATAGATACATATATATAATGCAGCTCGACTCATGGACTCACGTTCTAAACCTTTCGGAGTGACGTAAGGTCGGTATCCTCTGTACACGTTATTAGGACTAACTCTTCACCATGAACCTTATAAGAATCAGGAAGTACCAATAACATTGATAACATAAGAATAAGAGAAGCAACATCAACATCAATCGTTCCATAAGAGGGGAAACAATGTAAGTACTGCTAGCTTCTAAGAGTAGAGTATCTTTGGAAGCTCGTTCATTACATTATGTACAATCGGAGTCGTGCAAAAGAAGGAAAGGGATAGCCTCACATACCTTGTATATACTGCCCCAATCTCAAGCTATGCAATTTTCACGACTCCTTAGTCTACAATAAGAGAAACGATACTATAGTTACCATTCAAGCGTCATAACTATTATGTATCGACCACAACCTATTTTACGATGAAACGGACAGCACCTCCCCTATATATATGACTTCACACAATTCCAAAAAATCACCAAACAGCCCAAACAACATCAATAATAATCATATTGAGCCTCCCAAAACAGTCCACGCACAACCAAATCACTTCATACATACGACGGCCACCGTAGTCGTGTCAAACGACCCGGAAATGTTACGAAGAACTACCAGCCCACAACCCTACATCTATATGGTGTTTCTCCACGCCCTTCCTCCTCCAAAACTCCACAAAACAGTAGTAAAACACGCAGCCCAACAGCAACACAAAACAGTCTGCTACAAATGAATAACTCGAACTCACGGCTTCCGATCACCGTTCCGTGAGTTCTTACATGTATAGAACGAATTACCATGAATTCACAGCAGAATAAATGTATGAAATATAGCAGTAAACTCACCTTACTTGTTGGATAACTCAGCCCTTATCTTGGTTCTTCAAATTCTAGGGTATACCCCCAATTTGAACTTGAAAGAGAGGGAAAATCAATTAGGGTTTGTGGATAATTTTTGGGAGGAAGTTTGCAGGGGTTTAGGTCTGTTTATTTGTGAAATCTAATGAGGGATATATTGCAGAAGATAAGCCTTTTAATGGGCTCTTTGTCTGACCCGAAATTGCCTCTTTTTGGGCTATCATTTAACCAAGTAGGTGACCCACCTACTTGTCACCTAGCAGCTTGTGCAGTCTCGCAAAAATGTCTATATCTCTCTACTCCAATGTCATATTGATAAAAGGTTTAATGCGTTGGAAACTAGACTCATAGATCTTCAATTTGGTGGGTAGATCACCCCGTAATTCCAAGTATATTGGGAGAAAAGCTTAATAACATTTGACCTAAAGTTTAAGTAAAACTATGAACTTAAGTCGCAACAACTCTTGTCGACTTTGTTTCATAACTCGTTTGACTTCAAGACTATGATACGGATATTTTATGATTCATATACCTTAAAATACGACCTCTTGAGAGTATTAAGCACCCCTAGGTTTACCCAAAAATACGGCTGACAACATCCTTGATTCGTTTAACTTCTAATACTTGTTAACCACCCTTATACACCTTTGTATCATTTAAGACCAATAGGATTAATCTCTTATCATCTCAAAGATAATATCTTCATGGATTTACGTCGACGACCTTATGGCATGAACTAACGTATGTGAATATGGGTTGTAACACTCTGGTTTTTCCATCCTTCTTTGGCACATGCACAACATTTGCCACCCAGGTGGTGTATCGGACAGCTCTGACCACATTGGTGCTCAGTTGCTTCATTATTTCCTCTTTGATTTTGTCACTCATGTCTGTTTTAAATTTTTGTTGCTTTTGTTGGACTGGTGGAAAACCAGGACACATAGGAAGCTTATGAACCACTAGATCAGCACTTAAACCCGGCATATCATCGTAAGACCAAGCAAACACATCTCTGTATTCAAATAAAAGTTGAATCAAGGCATCTCTGGTTTTTTGTTCAGTGTGAATGCTTATCTTCGTTTCTCTAACTTCTTCAAGACTTCCAATATTAATCGGCTCAGTTTCATTGAGGTTGGGCTTAGGCTTGTTTTCGAATTGTTCAACTCTCTTTTTATTTCCTCGACAACCTCATCTTCATCATATTCAACCTCTTGATGCATTATTTCGATATTAGATAGCTTTTTAAGATCTGGGCGTGAATTCCGCATGCATGTCATGTTATTAAAGCCGGCATTAACAAAACTGAAATGGAAAAAATAACAGGAATTAGGAAAAGGAAAAGATAGAAAACTTAATAGGAAACTGAACTGCATTTTATTGAATTCGAAAGGATAGAAGGGTTAACATCAAAACAAAACAATCATACTGAGATGTTTGGATTACAACCCTGAAAGTAACCCAAAATACAAAAAAAAAGCTGCAAAAGCAAACTACCAAGACTCCTTCCTTGTGGGGAGAGGAGTTGTTTCCCAGTTGGTTTGCATGGTGTCTGGGCCAATTAGTTGCATATAGGCACGACTAGTGCCTTCACCAGCCTGGATCATATTCACTTCAGAAAATATTTGGCTGAGGCCATGGCAAATTTCATCAATGTTTGCATGCGCCGTGGAATTTTGACCCTCTTGGAGTTGTGGCTTGACAAAAGTGTAGAAAATATGAGGGATAGGCTGTTGCAAGACCCATCCATGCTTTTTGCGGTGTTTGGCTTTATTTTCGTCTGCTTGTGTTGGCCTGAAGCCTAAGCCAAAAGTACCCTGGTTACCGAACGGAGAGATAGGCTCCGAAATTCCTTGCAATGATGCCCCCAAGCCTTTTCCTGGCTCATAACCTTGTCTCATCATAACTGCAGCCACCATTATAGATGTGGCGGAAAGACGAGGATGTAGAATGGTCTTTCCTTCCTCGACATGGTCCACAAAGACCACTTCAAAAGCCTGATAGACAATGGACTCAGACCCTTCCTTGGCCTCAATACAAGGAATTAACGGGTCTTTATAAATGGGAGACTCGTCTTCTCGGTGAACAATAATTTCTTGCCTGTCATGTTCGAATTTGAGCATCTAATGCAAGGTGGATGGCACAGCTCGGGCCGTATGGATCCATAGCCTTCCAAGAAGAAAGTTATAAGAAGTGGCCATGTCCACTACTTGGAAGACAATCTCAAAGTCAACTGGCCCAATCGTCATGGTGAGGTTGATCTCCCCAATGGTATCTCTTGCTGAGCCATCAAAAGCCCGGATGCGAACATTGCTGGGTCGGATTCTGTCTGTATCGATCTTCATGCTTTGTAAGGTAGAGAGAGGGAATACATCTACACTTGAGCCTCCATCAACCATGACTCGCTTTAGATAATGACCCTCACATTTGACCATCAAGTTCAAAGCTCTATTGTGCCTGGCTCCCTCCTCGGGAAGTTCATCATCAGTAAAGGAGATTCTGTTCACCTCGAAAAATCTGTTGGCCGTCTTCTCTAACTGATTCACTGTGGTCTCCTCTGAGATATGTGCCTCGTTCAGGACCTTGATTAGTACACGGGCATGCTCTTTGGAATGTAGGAGCAGAGATAGTAGAGAGATTTGGGCGGGAGTCTTTCTTAGCTGGTCAATGATTGAGTAATCATGAACTTTCATCTTTTTCAAAAACTCTTCCGCATCTGCTTCAGTGACTGGTTTCTTTATTGGAAAATGGCCTTCTCTAATTTGCTTGGCCTTTCTCAACTCTTCTGGAGAGTAACATCTCCTTGATCGAGTCAAACCTCCAGTTTCCCCCACTTCCTTTATGATTTCCTTGCCTTTGTAGGTCATCACAGTTTTGTTGTAGTTCCAAGGAGTGGTTTTTGTGTTGGTTACAGGGGGTTGCATGGCAGGTTTGATTACGATCGACTCTGTTATACCTTTCGTACCTCCCTGCTTCTCCCTTTTGATGGGGTGGCCTCCAAGTACATATAACCTTGGGCTTGGAACAATGGAGTGAACTTCCAACCTTGAGATCTTTGGAACAAATAAAGTCGCCTTATTTGAGCTTTGGGCGCCTTTCACAATCAATGGCACATCTCGGCTGGGGATTACTTCCAGACCCGCTCCTTCTTGAATTGCACCCACTATCATTTCTGCTCGACCGACCGGCTTATATTCTTGGTCTCGGTCAATCATTCCCACAAAATGAACATCATTGTGTGCTGGCAACGGGTTGTTTGTCACGTTAGGAAGGTCCTCGCCATTCGTCACTACAATCAGTTTTTCAGAAATGAGTCTCTCTATGGCTCTTTTCAGAGTCCAATAGTCATCAGTGCTATGCCCTAGGGCACCAGAATGATATTCACATCTAGCATTTGCTTGAAATCCATGCAAATCGAGATGCATATGGTGGGGAGCGATGGGTCCAATTACGCCCATTTGCTTCAGCTTCTGGAATAGACTAGAATATGATTCCGCCAATGGAGTGAATTTTTCTGCCAGCCTCTGCTCTCGACCATAATCCTGCCTGGGACGAGCATTGTAGGGTGCCCGAGAATTTGCTGCTGAGGTCGGGGGGCCCTTGGAGCTGGTGCCCGTACCTGCTAATTGGGAGGCCGAGCATATGATTGAGCATTGAACACCGTATATTGTGGTGGGCCCATAGAGTATTGAGGAATTGGCGGGGGATAATAATGTTGAGGGTAGCTGGATTGCCCCTACTGAACTTGCACATAAGGGTGTGATGCCCCTCTTTGAAACTCCCTAGATCCCGAAGCCATCATGGACCCTTCATCTCTCTTCTTTCTATTTGCCAAACCTCTCGACCCATTTTGGATAGCTTGGGTGGTAACTTTGAGAGCAACTTGACTTACAATTCTGCCAGTCTTGAGGCTATTTTCGACCGTCTCCCCTATTTTGATTGCTTCTGCAAAAGTTCTACCCATCGCGGACATCATGTTCTGAAAGTAATCAGGCTCTTGAGCCTCCAGAAAAATAGTGATCAACTCGTGGTTATCCATGGGTGGCTTAACTCTAGTCGCTTGCTCCCTCCACTTGATGGCATACTCCCTAAAACTTTTCGTCGGCTTTTTCTTCACATTGGACAAGGAATTACGATCCGGCGCAATATCAATGTTGTACTGAAATTGTTTGACGAAAGCCTGGGCCATGTCATCCCAAATATGCCAATGAGAGATGTCTTGGTCAATGAACCATTCGGAAGCTACCCCCACAAGGCTTTCCCCAAAGTAAGCCATCAACAACTCTTCCTTTCCTCCTGCACCCCTCAGCTGGTTGCAATACCTTTTCAAGTGGGCGATAGGGTCGCCGTGTCCATCATATTTCTCAAATTTTGGGGTCTTGAACCCTCGTGGCAAATGGATGTGAGGGAACATGCATAGATCACTGAACGAAACACTTTTGTGACCACCTAGTCCCTGTATATTCTTTATATTCTGTTCAAGACTTTTCATTTTCCTGGCCATCTCATCTGGCTCAACAGTCGTGGCAGGCTTTTCATTTTCCACTGGTGATTCGTACCGAGGAGTCTGATTGTATGGAGCCGAGACCCCAAAAGCCATATTTGGAGAATAGTATTGGCCATCATAAGCATGAGATGGTGGCTCATTGTTTGGCCTCGTCACAGGTGGTGGCGGCGGGATTGTATATACCGGTGCGCCAGACACGACGAGAGGGGTGTTCCTAACCGGTGCGACTGGAGGTCGCATATTAGAGGTACCGGGGGCAGCATGGAGGCTGTAGTTTGGCACATACCCTGGTGGTAGAATGGGATCGCTCGTTGCATGGAGCGGTGTTTGAGTAGCCTGGGGTATGGTGGAAGTTCCCTCTGAAGGACCCTGGGGTGGAGGTCGACCGGAAACCCAAGCTTGATATACATCTGACAGTTGTTGTCTCAATTTTCTTATTTCCTCCGACTCTTGCTCAACTGACTGACCCTGCGGATTGTCACTGACCAACTCGATTTCATCACTATTATCCATTACCACCGCTCCCTTAGATCTTGTGAAGTAATGATGTGTTGCCAGTTTTCACCACAAACCAACCACCTTAAGCTTACTGATTAAGAGGCAACAAATGTGTTAGGGTTAAGCATTTTACAGATAGGAATCACACGTAGATATGCTATGCTCCTAAAATATCACCATCTCTAACATGCTTTTGGAAGGCTTCATGTTTCATTCCTAGATTTATCATGTTTTTTTTTTCTTTTCACTCGCCTTATCTTGATCCCTCATTTTATAGCTATTTGAAAAATATTTGATCGAACCTTTTGTGGGTTGCCTACGTATCATGTCGCCGCATGAATCAGATCATTACGTAGTTCAGGTACATGACCATTTTTTTTATTTCATAAAACAAACATCTTTTTGGTTCATTTTCGAATTTTTCTAAACAAAATCTTTTTCATTGATTTTCAATATATATATATATATATATATAATTTTTTTTTTTGATACAAGACTCAAACAGTAAGAATTACATAAAGATAAACAAGACCAGACCTGACTCAAACAGACTTTTTAGGATAAAAGGCAAAACAACAAGACTCAAAACACCAAAAGACTCTTACAGACTCAAAAACAACAAAAGAATAATGAAAAAGGACTGATAACTAAAAGAAGACTTTGATCTCTGCAGTAGAATCCACCAGCATCACTGTAATTAAGGCTCTTGTTCCTGTGGCTGACCCCCAACATTGCGGTATATCCTCTCCAAGTCTGCAGATATGTGAGGAGCAACGTTCAATGATACTTCTGCAAACCGCTCGGGCATCATTCCCTGGAAACTCCTGCATGCTCTGGAGGTATATGTGGCTACCTCGAGGATCTTTTCCTTAATGTATTCCTGAGCCACATGCAACTCTTGATTTTGCTGACCACGGGTCTCAGCTAGATCCAGCGCATCACGCTCGTGGTCCAAGGCCATATCTTTCTGGCGCCGAACATCTAGCGACTCCGCTTCTAACTGATTGATCACCTTTTGGTAGTGGTGTCTTTCTACTTCAAACTCCGCGATCTGTCTCTTCTTGCTTGACTCGACTCCCCCTATCTGCTCCCTCAGACCTTGGATTAATGGAGCAAAACCTCTACGCTCATTATCACGGACCACCTTGAACTGGGCTTCTCTTTCTTCTTATTGTTGAGCGGTTGTGACTATGTTCTTCTTTCGAATTTGGGCTTTGAGTGCTTGCTTCTCTCGTGCCCACTGAGCCTTTTCCCGCTCAAAATCAGCTGTTGTATGTCCATGGCTGTCTCCAGAATGCCCTTATCTTCTTCTAAAATGTCAATACGAGATTGGAACTCTTGTGCCACTTCCTTTCTGGTTTCTCTAACTCTGGCCTCGATCTCCTCCTCCCAATCAATTGCATGTCGTATGGATCTTTCTGGCCTTTGCTCGGGGATAGCCTGGTTATGAAACCACTCAAGGTATGTGAGGCTTACCTCCCCACGTTCACGATCAGCTACCATCTCGTCCAAATCAGAAAATCGACCACCAAACCAAACCTTTTATGCATATGACTCCCTTGGAGGTTCCTCTCCCTTGAATTCCCAAACGAACGGACGCATGTCCTCAATCGGGGGTCTCTTTTGCTCTCTCCCTAGTTGGCGCATGACGCGTAGGGGCGCGTAGGGTTGGAAACCTCTGAAACCCATGAGTATGAAGAACAGGCGATATGTCGGCATATGCATGACCCTAGCAGAAGGGAACCAATAATAGTTCCAAGTGATTCTATCAGCACTCAATGAGCCAAGTAATGTCCGCCAGGCCCTCACCCCCTCTGGAAGATTACAACTCGCACCTCTGTCTGGGTGACATCCAATGTAATTCAACCAATTATCATCGAAATTTACTACTATTGGATGATGATAAAGTTGCTCTATGAACCACATCTGCAGCAGGATGTTGCATCCCTCAAAGTAATCTTCACCTTCTTGGCAACGGGTCAAAGCTCAAAAAATATCTCCCAAAATCATGGAAATAATGGTATGATCCTCGCTACTTGCAAATAAGAGACTACCGCAACCAATCGAATTCTGATGCGCCCACCACGCTCTGGAAAGACCATGATCCCTAGAAATGATATCATGAACGCGAAGATTCTCAACTCCCTCCAAGCGTCGTAACTCAACTGGTTGACAAATTCTATGCCCGAGAAATTTTCAAACCCTTTCTCGTCCCCAAACCTGTCATAGAGATATTCCAACGGAACGCAACCTTCATTTAAGCAAACCATTGGAATTCGACGGAGGCATAACTTTTTTAAAAAGTTGTTCACACCAACTTTTCTCGGAGCAGCAGGCTTTTTCCCACGAAGGTCTCTGCCCAATCCGGTGAATCCACCTAATTCTTCCAATGTGGGCGTCATTTCACAATCTTTGAACCTGAAGACATTGTTCGCGGGGTCCCAAAAACCCACTAGAGCCTCGATTAAATCTCTGTTAGGCTTAATTCCCATGATGTTTGTGAGGAACTTGAGGTGCTTAAATACTCGATTTCGTTCCCATGTAGCAAAACTAGCCCACCAATTACAAAGACTACTCGGGGTCTTATCTCTGATCAAGAACATAGGAGGTGTCTCGTCCCTTACCCTTTTCTGACTGCTTCTTTGTGGAGAACTCATGGTGATCCTAAGAATAAGATAAAAAGGGTTAGGACTTACCTAAACTATATGCAAATTATGATCATTCATCATTTTATTTTATTTTTTTGGCCAATTTAGGACTCGATCTATTTTTTTATTTTATTTTTATTACAATATATGTTTTGAAATTACCGGACACAAAAGTTGAGATGATAAAAGTGGAAAAAATGGCTATGATTACAAAGACGGCCCTTTGATATTTCCATAGAAGGCATAAAGGATGTCTTGGCAAAAACAGCCAAACACAGGAACAAAATGATAAAAATAGACAAAATAATAAATAAAAACTATTTTTACAAAAATGACCCTTTGCTACTCCGAGAGGGGTTCAAAAGCTGTCTCAGCAAATATAACCAGACAAAACTAGATAAAAATGGCTACTTTTGCGAAAACAGCCTTTCGGTACTCCCGGAAAGGTTTAAAGCTGCTTCGCCAAAAATGGCCAGACATAAGGGCAAAATGGTAAAAGGTGAATAAATATGGATAAAGTAACTATTTTTCACAAAAATGGCCCTTCAGCACTTGCCAGGAAGATTTTAAGGCTGTTCTGGCAAAACAGCCGGAACATGAGGGCAAGACAGTAAAAAGGTGACCAAAATAGGCTCTTTTTTTCCGAAAATTTTATGCACATGCGGAATTTTATGCTCCCTTTTTTTGAAAAATATGGGCTGAACCCGATGGAGGTTGCCTACGTATCTCACCTCCGGTGAGAATCAAATCCGCGTAGTTCGGTAAAACTGGGTACTTTTCCCTTTTGTTTTTTTTTAATGAAAATTAATCTTTACAACTCACACCAGACTACTGCAATATATATATATATATATATATATATATTAAAAAAAGGTTTATTTGTATTAAATTAGGAGAATTATTCTTTTTTTTTCTTTTTTTTTCATTTTTAATAATTACATTAATTTTTTTTAAGACCGGTCGACAATGCAAGTAAGCCTTCCGAATGATGTATCAAGTAGCACATACGTGAATATGATGGTCTCAAAGAGGATACCTGTCTTATACGGACTCGGCCCCTGTGCCGAGTTTCGCTAAGTCAAATGCACGTGATGCAAATAAAGCGAACCTACTAGGGATATCCGGCATGAGTTTTGTTCTTCTAGGTTTAAATCCTATTGGAGAAGGTATCTAGGCTGGCTTACTCGAGCGGACAACTTGAGCCGAGGAGGGTCAGTGTACCGGTAGAATTGCTTTCCGGCTTAACTGGTGGTGCTCCCCGCCTAAAATATGTGTGACTAAAATCCTTCACCGGGTGACAAGCACCTCGGCTATCTCAAAGAAAGCGGGCTATGTCAAGCAAATGCCCAATTTTAATTTCAAGAAGACTCAGAGGGGGTGCGTGAGAAAACAGTTTATATGTACAGTTCAACAATATCAAAACGGTAAAAATTGAACAGGTAGCACACTGCACAAATAAATCACAATATATACAAAATTAATAAAGCCAAAAAAAAGTCAACATGTACAAGCTCGAATTCTGGTTGTCCCCAATAGAGTCGCCAGAGCTGTCACACCCCTTTTTCTACCCCCAAAAAGAATAATGTATGTTATGGATCGTTGTGGGTTAAAGAGTTTTTCCAATTAAAGTGACAATTTTAAAATAGGGATTGTTTTATTGTCCAGAGTCGCCACTTGGAATTGATTTTTTGGGTGTTCCAAGTCACCATTTATTTGAATCCCTATTTAAAGGAAGATTTGACTCTTTTATTATTGTTCTGCGAAAACAAAGTCCGGGTAAGGAATTCTGTTGACCGGGGAGAAGGTGTAAGGCATTCCCCGAGTCCCGTTGTTCGAGCACGGTCGCTTTATTGACTTAAACTTGGCTTGAATTAATTCTGCACAAACTGTATTTTAATGGATCTCCGTGTTTTACCTATATCCGCTTTTATTGCTTGATTATTAGAATTAGTAAAGAAAGACTTGAATGATATTCCGTTGTCATAATCACACTACGCAAGCGAATGCGTGATCGAGACGAGACGAGATTTATTAATTTTGCCATAACAGTACTACGCAAGCGAATCTGCCGCCATGATAAAGGATTATTAGCACGTTATTACTCTAAAAAAACTACTATATTTTATATTAATTTATTATGAAAAATGGGCCAGCAAAATAAATTTATTTGGCCAAACATGTTTCTCGTGGCCCCGTTTAAGCACTAACATGAGAGATAGGCTAAAAGCACAAGCAAATAATTAACTATATGCATAATATTAAATACTAGTTAGTAACATGGAATAAAACAAACTAAAGATAAAAATTATTTAAAATTCTTATGGCCCATTTATGTTACAACTAGCTTAAACCCACAATCTATTAATT